CATGGTGACACTTTCCCCTAAACAACAGTCATTTTTCTTTAATTAGAGAGGGAGAAGTAAAGGAAGGTGATCTAGGAACATATTACCAGCTTTCATAAAGGGATGACTTGTTTGGTTGGCAAGTTGTTCATAACTGGTTTCCCTCTCCTGGTTTTCTTGTCCATGAGAAATGAGTTAGTACTTTATAAAAATAAATTTAACAGCAGCTATTTTCAAGAGAGAGAGATTTAAACTTCACAAGCATATAGCTTAGATGAAACAACCCATTCAAGTTTGAGCAATTGATTTTATCAAAATTTTTCCCCAGGGCTCTTGGCAGAATGAAATTTATAATAGTACCTCTGCAGTTTTGAAGGTCCTCTTTTTTACTAAGTATGTATCAGTTCATTCATTTTCATGCACTGTGCAGAAGTAAAGCCAATAGCTGTCTGAATGTGTCCACTTCAATTACTAATGCAGTATCAAGAAAATCAATAAGATATTTCAACACTCTTCCAACTTATTCTTCTGACCTCAAAGGCAGAGGATGATGCTCAGCCTGAAGCCCCAATACTTTGGCCACCTCATGTGAAGAACTGACTCATTGGAAAAGACCCCGATGCTGGGAAAGATTGAAGGCGGGAGGAGAAGGGGACAACAGAGGATGAGATGGTTGGATGGCATCACCGACTCGATGGACATGAGTTTGAGCAAGCTCCAGGAGTTGGTGATGGACAGGAGGCGTGGCGTGCTGCAGTCCATCGGGTTGCAAAGAGTCGGACATGATTGAGCGACTGAGCTGAACTGATTCACTGGAATGAAGTCAGCTTAGATTCTTAGGTTGCCGTTGAAGTGGTTATATAATGAAGACAAGAGAATTGTGCATTTGTTTTTGGATATTTCTCTTCATGTTTATGATCAGTGTTTGCAGCACGGGGAGACACGGAGGAGGAAGTGGGAGGAGGAGTGTAATGGCTGCTGTGGTTTCAGATGCTAAGGGAGGTACAGACCCTCCTGCAGCTCTGCAGTGACTGCGAGAAGGGCTCTCCGGGGGGTGGATTGTGGGCCAGGGGCTGCTGAAGCCTTCGGGCAAGTCCCTACTCACAGTCCTTGACACTGGCTGCCTGATTGGAAAAGTGACCCCAGAGGCAGAGCTCATCTGGAGAGGCCCCTCCACGTGCCTCTGCTTGGGGCATGAGAACCATTTTGATTTGTAAAATGAAATGTTGAGAATCCTGCATCTGTGGGCACTAAAAATTCCCCAAACCCAAGATGTGAAGGTCAAATAGAATAGAGAGACTCACCCTTTGAGGCTGCGTTATAAAATATGTGTGGAAAATTTGAATTTATTTTGTATGAGGGGTTTAGGGACAATTCCTAGTAAGGATATCGTGATCTGAACGATGAGTTAGATGCAGGGCTGGGGTCCAAACACCAGTCATGCATCCACAATAGGCATCTAAGAAATCAATATGAACTCGAATTAGTATCTGAAGCCTTTCCCCAAAGTACCTTTGTTTAACGGAGAGAAAATCCCCATCCATTAAGTGTCATGGGCCAGATTACTGTCACGTGTGATGACATATCGATAACGGTCTGGAATGCCACATGGCTTGTTACCATGTTTTGGAAAATTCTTGCTTGTGGTGACTACAGTTCTTTCAGCCCCTTCCCATGTGCTGCTATACTCTCTGCCTTCCTGACCCTCACTATTGCTTGACTTCACCCTACAGCCATATTCAGGAAGGTTGTAAGACAGAAAGAGACCTTCAGAGCTGGGAAGGGACCAGCTAGTCCAGTAATTCCAAGCCGTGCTCCTGCGGTGCCCTAAGCATCTGCAGAGTTGGGACTCAGAGCAGAGGTGAGCCAAACTGGGTCTGCTCAAAGATTTTACCAGCTTTCACCTGCCCTGCTGCAAACAAATCAGTAAAAGGTTTGAAAGTCAGTGACCTAGCCCAGTTGCTTTCTTTTCCAGGTAAAGAAATTGGAGCCTGAAGAGCTGGCTTCCTAGATACAAAGCGCTTGAGTGTGGTAGTGACACAACTGTTTTAGAAATGGGTAATTTCTGGGAACTGGAATGAACTCGCTAATGAAGGAGGGAGTTAAAAGGTAACTTTGTAAAGTTTTGGTTTCCTTTGGAGATTTTAACCTTCCCAAGGATATGCTTGCCACCTCCTTTAGAGTCTCTGTTTTGGGAACACAACTTTAGAGAACTGTACATGCCGTTTCAGGAAAAAATACAACAGCAACTTTAAGCTAGCGCTTCTCCTGGCAATGTAAGGCTAAAGATGGGCTGCTATGGTAAAGACTGTGACTTTAGGCTATCTTTAGTCTAAAGCTCCTTTTTCACACTTCAGAGAAGGCCGTGATGAAATGATAAACATGCCTGATTCACGTCCCCTAGTTCCTAGATGGCAGCTTGACCTGTGATGGTGCTGGAGATCTTTGCTGTCACCCCTCCCCCTGCCTGAACTCACCTCTCTTTTAGACCCTCCCTCTCCAACCCTAGACTTAGCAACAGTCTGCCTGACATTTCCATTTGCTTGTCTAGGAAACGTCTCAAATTCACATGACAGAAGGTGAATTTCTGGTTTTCTCTCCTAAGTCAATTCCATCTGAACATTTTTCATCTTGGTTAATGGAAACTTTTCCAGGCTTCCCAAGTGGCGCTCATGGTAAAGAACACACCTGCCAATGCAGGAGACTCAAGAGACCACGTTTGATCCCTAGGTCAGGAAGATCCCCTAAAGTAGGAAATGGCACCCCACTCCGGTATTCTTGCCTGGAAAATTCCATGGGCAGAGGAGCCTGGCAGGCTATGGTCCATGGGGCTGCCAGGAGTCTGACACGACTGAGCAACTGAGCGCATGTCACATGTCACGTTACAGTGGCAACTCTGTCCTTCTGATTTCTCAGAAGTCAGCGTCTGATTTCTCAGCATCTGCTCAGAGTCATCCTACTCCTGTCTCACATCCTCTGTCCACTCTGGATCTGACCTGTTCTCACTCCCTCCACTGCTATCACCTCGGACTAAGCCACTATCATTTCCTGTCCTGTTTAGCTTGAGTTTCTTAACTTGGCTTTCTTTCTGCCTATGAATCTTGCTTTCAGTCTATTCTTGAAGTGGTCAGCGAGGTCCTTTTTTATAAGTAAGGCAGGTCACGTCGTCCTTTCTTCAAGACACTCCCCGTCTCACTCAGAAGTTAAAAGCTCTTCCCCCTCTGGCCCCTACCCTCTTCTGTATCCCACTGCTCCAAGCCACACCTGTCTGCCCCCAAGTCCCTCCATACCCTCCCCTGCCACGGTCACCCCTCCCCTGCCTCACCCCCGTGACTTCTCTGGCCGCATGGCTCCCCTATCCATTGTGCTCCTCCTGCTCACTCCACGCCAGCCGCACCAGCCTCTGGGCTGAGCCTCAAACACTCTTGGCATGCTTCAGAATTAGACCGTTTACTGGTGTTCCCCTCTGCATGGGTCGCTCCAGTCAGATTTCTCACTCTCTCACAACTTCAGGGTTTTGTTCCAATGTCCCGTTCTCAATAATCATCCTAGCTAAATCAGTAGGGAACTGCAAACAAAAACCGCAATAAGATATCACCTCACACCTGTCAGAATGGCTAGCACCAAAAAGAAGACAAATAACAAATGTTGGTGAAGATGTGGAAAAAAGGGAACTCTCTACGCTGTTGGTGAGAGGGTAAATTGGTGCAGCTACTGTGAAAAATGGTATGGAGGTTTCTCAGAAAACTAAAAATGGAACTATCATATCACTTGGAAATGTCCTGGGGATATGTACAACCCCCCAAAAAACACTGATAAAGATACCCACACCCCAGTGTTCATAGCAGCATGATTTACAATTGCCAAGATATGGAAGCAAACTAAGAGTCCATCAACAGATGAACGTACAAAGAAGATATGGTATATATTCAAAGGAATATTACGCAACCATAAAAAGGAACAAAATTTTGCTGTTTGCAGCAACATGAATGGACTTGGAGGGCGTTATAAGTAAGTCATACAGAGAAGGACGAATACTGTACACTATCACTTTCATAGGGAATCAAAAAAATACAGCTAACTAATGAATATTAACAAAAAAGCAGACTCACAGATATAGACAACTAGTGAAGTTATTAGTGGGGAGAAGAAAGAAGGAGAGTAAGAGATAAAAGCTATTAGGTATAAAATAATTTACAAGGATATATTGTACATTGCAGGGAATACAGATAACATTTATAATAACTAAAAATGGGGTATAACCTTTAAAATTTGTGACATATTATTTGTTGTTGTTCAGTTGCTCAGTTGTGTCTGACTCTTTGAGACACCATGGACTGCAGCACGCCAGGCTTCCCTGTCCTTCACCATCTCCCAGAACTTACTCAAACTCATGTCCATTGAGTCAGTGATGCCATCCAACCATCTCATCCTCTGTCATCCCCTTCTCCTCCCACCTTCAATCTTTCCCAGCACCAGGGTCTTTTCTAAGGAGTCGGCTCTTCACATCAGGTGGCCAAAGTGTAGGAGCTTCAGTTTCAGCATCAGTCCTTCCAATGAATATTCAGGGTTGATTTCCTTTAAGATTGACTGGTTTGATCTCCTTGCTGTTCAAGGGACTCTTCAGGAGTTTTCTCCAACACCACATTACATTATATCCCTGTGATACAATGAATATTAACAAAAAAGCAACTGTCAGTTCAATTGCTCAGTCGTGTCCGACTCTTTGCCATACTTCAATTAAAAAATAATTCAAAAATTAAAAAAAAAATCATTCTAGCTAAACAGGAAAAGTCCTGCCACCCACACGGGTCTCTCCCCAGCCATTCCTGACTGTGGATAAGCACAGCGGTGTGTCCAGAGACCAGCGGTAGAACACGGGGAACTCTCGCGAGACCCTATGCCGGGAAGATGCGTGGGAAACGCTGTAGCTCCCCGTGCCCTGGCAGGGGGCGAAGGCAGCGAGAAGCCGAGTGACTGGGAGAGGCCCCTGGGAGTCCGCCAGCGCCCTGCAGCCTTCCTTACAGGGCGTGAGAGGCCGAAATCGCTGAACGGGTAGGCGCTGTCACCCGGCTGGGCTTCAAGCGCTTGCTCTGGACCATGAGAACCGGTTTTGCACGTGTCCCCGGCCCGGCGCTGGGGGGCTTGGTGACTGAGACGTAGGGGGCGCGCAGGGACCCGGCGTCCGCCTCCTCAGCGCGGGCCGGGCCCGGGGGCACCGAAAATGCGGGAAAGCTCTGAGAGGGCCCACAGACTGAGTCCTCACGGAGGGAGGGGTCCAGACGGGATGGCCGGACATGTGATGGTTGACGGCAAGGAGTGTTCGAGCAAGTGATGCTGGGTTAGTAAATTGCTTCATTCGTTAAATTAAAAAACAAATTTTGGGGGGATAAAAAAGGAGCAACTGGGTTTAAGTATATGTCCTTAATTTTTTGCCAGCTATTGCCAAACCATTATCCAGATTCTTCTACTTCACATTTTCATCACATTTTCACATTACTTCATTCCTTGCTCCAAACCTTTGATAACACTTATTAGAAAGAAATATCTTTGCCAATTCTTATTGTTTAAGCCACTAAATCGTGTCTGACTCTTTGGGACCCCATGGCCCTCCAGACTCCTCTGTTCATGGAATTTCGAGGCAAGAATACTGGAGTGGGTTGCTATTTCCTTCTCCAGGGGATCTTTCTGATCCAGGGAAGGATCAAACCTGCTTCTCCTGCACGGGCAGGCAGATTCTTTACTGCGATACAGGCCTACAATGATATGTTATTACTGGTTTAGTTTATATACCTTTGATTACCATTGAGGATGGACGTATTTTTACATCTTTATTGATAATTGGCAGTTTTTACTTTTATGAATTATTCTTTCTGTTTTTTAACCTTGGAAAATTATGAAAACTCTTTATGCATTAACCCTTTCCTAGCATTTAAATTTTTCTCCCCTCGTTTACTTTTTATTTTTTTATGGTGTTTTTCTGAAAATTTTAAATGTTTAGAGAGTTAACCATTCATCTTTTCTTTTATGGGATCTAGTTTTGTTGTTTTGCTTAAAAACTGTCTCTCACTTCTCTTCCCATCAATGTTTCTCCGTATTTCCATCTAAGTTTTCTGTGATTTTGTTGTTTCACCAAAATCATTATATGTTCTATGTTTATTCAGGTTTAATAGTTGTGATGGTTTGCAAAAATGGCTACAGTCTTCAATTCTCCTTCCTTCTCAGGACCACCCGCCTCTGCAGTGTCAGGATGCAGCTCTGCCCATGAGGAGGTGGAATCTGTTTACCCACCGCTTAAGTCTGGCCTTGTGACTTGCTTTGACCAATAGATCGGTGGCAATGACAGCGTGTGGCTCCAAGGCTAGACCTTATGAGACCCTGGGTGCTTCTCCAGGAACTCTCCAGGGCCACCAGGTGATCAAGCCTGCTGGGTGAGCATGTGGCCTTATTGCTCTCTATCACTCCAGCTGACAGCAAGTCAGCTTCCAGAAATGGCAGTGAGGTTATCTTAGACCAGTTGGCCCCTAGCTAAGGTATCAGCTGAGCAGTAGCTGACAGCAGGAGTTGAATGAGCATCAAGACTTGAAGAAGATCTGCTCTGCTGGGTCCAGCCCAAATTGCTGTCCCACAGAAAAGTGAACTAAATAATTGGAAGCTGTTTTTAAGCCTCTAAGCTTTGAAGTTTTCCTGGTTGTATAGCAAAAGGTAGCTGATGTATGAAGTAGGGAATTCTATTTTATTTATCCAGGAGTTAGCCTGTGGCCTAATATCATTACTGAATAGTTCATCTTCTCCCAAATATATTGTCTTGATTCTGCCTCTGAGTTCTCCATTATGTTCTATTGATTTGTCTGTCCTTTGTGTAATAGATTTTCTCAGTGATATGCTTCAGTATCTGGAAGGATAAGTCTCTCTCCTACAATTCTTAACTATTCTTATGTTTTTATTCTTCTAGATGAATTTGGTTTTGTTGTTTCATATTGCAAAAATATATATGTTGGGCTTTTGAATGGAGTGTTATGAAGCATAAACTTTGAAAAGTATTGACTTAAAATTATTGAGCTATCTAGAAATATAATATTTTGAATAATTGTCGTATTTTATATATTTCAGAAGAACTTTATAGTTTTCCTTATATAGCTTTCTCATAGTTCTTATTAAATTGATGCTTGGGTATTTTACAGTAAAAGGAAGATTTTTTCATTATATTTTATATGATTGCTTTAGATTTTTAAGAAAACTATCTATCTCGATACATTAATTTTGTAACTGACTACCTTACTGAACTCACTGGTTCTAGAAAATTGTTTAAAATTGTTTTTTTTTAAACTGGATTTTTCAGCTATGCAAATCATATCATTGCAAGTAATGGTGACTTTTTTTCCTTTCCAGTGTTTTCCTCCTTATTGTTTCATCTTATTACTTTGGTTAGCACTTTCAGAGTAATGTTAAAGAATAGTGGTGATGGGTCACCCTTTTCTGAATCTTGCCTGTATTGTTTCATCTAAACAAGAAAATAACTCTTTGAGAGCAGGTTCCATGTCTTGTTCTTTTATTCTTTCTCCCTTGATTCTTAGCACAATGCTTGCTTATATTTGGCAATAAAGAAATATTTAGTAATTTAAGGGCCAAATACTTACTGCAGATCTTCTTTGTGTTGGACACTGTAAAGGGAACTGTGGTGCAAAGATTAAGGTTCCCCAGCTTTGTTATTGTTGTTCTTGTTTTAGTCACTACGTCATGTCTGACTCTTTTGCCTCTCCATGGACTGTAGCCCACCAGTCTCCTCTGTCTATGGATTTCCCAGGCAAGAATACTGGACTGGGTTGCCATTTCCTTCTTCAGGGGAACTTCTTGACCTGGTGATCAAACCTGCATCTCCTGCATTGGCAGGAGGATTGTTTACCACTGAGCCTCCAGGGAAACCCTGATCCCCAGCTTTAGGGCCCTTTAAGTTCATTTATATTGTATGGACTTTGGAGTTGGATAAAAACAAACCTTGACTTTATGTCCTATCTGTTGTGGGACTTTGAAAAATTTACATCACCTTCCTAGATTTTCAGTTTATCCCTCTGAATACCTGGAAATTAATAGTCAACCTCTTATGAGTTTCTTGGAGAGATTAGATAATATATGTATAAGAGCATTTTGAAGAATTTCTGAATGAATGAACAGGAGCAGGAAATGCAAGAAGAGCTTTGGTGGATGGGGGAGAACGCAGGCTCAGATTTGAACATACTGCGTTGAAAATGTCTGTGGAACTTTAAATAGACTTATATGTTGGATCGTTGAGTATGCAGATCTGAAATTTGGAGAGATTTAAATTTATGAATATGCTTCTTATGTCCTTAATGTTTTAAGGCTCAGAAAAATCACTCTGGCCACAATAAAGAGGATTTTTTTTTTTTTTTGGGCGGGGCCTGGATTGGAGGGGGAATACATTTGAAGCTAAACTGTAGATGGAAAGCCACCAGAATGGAGACAGCTCAAGGGCTGAGAGTGTTATCAGCAGAGGTGAACTCCACAGAGTGGTCTGTTGAGCTGGGAATGAAAAGTGCCCTGATGTCAGCAATTAGAAGGTCTCAGGTGCCCTCTCAGGAGTGGCTGCACCACTGGAGGGCAGGAGAGGAGGGCTAATTGCTGGGCCAGTGGGAGGTGAGAAAGCAGAGAGCAGCTCTGCAGGGAGGATAGAGCTGAATGCCATGCTCTTTGTTGACGTGATGGGTGGTTCATAGCTCAAACCCATGCACTATCCATGGCTGGGGTTCAGATATATCTCTGGGAAACTCTCCTCTGGGTGACCACATCTGAACCTACTTCTCTTGCGAGATGAGACACTTCCCTGGTAGGCAGCCAACAGAGTATAACCTGCCACCGCCCCCACAAGGATCTCCCCACTTGGACGTGGAACGCAAGGTGGCATTGGCACATTGAGGATTCCAGAGAATGCGGAGCAGTTTTGGCTTCTTAGTCGTTCCAGAACATCAGCACAGTGGACAGGATGTCAATCAGGCTGCAGTGCTTGGCAAGTGGGGCAGTAGCTGGCAGAAGAAGCAGGCGTGGCTGTGATGCTCAGGCTGTGATGCTCAGCAGCGGTACCTGGAGGGGAGACACCGGTGCCTTCCAGAGCAGGCAGGTTCCGCAGGTGCGGTGGTATCTTACGTCACCAGAGGAGCTGGGGGCTGCGGGGCTCCACCTATACTTGACCAGGCTTTCCTGTGAGTACGTTTAAGACAGGGGCTTGGGGGTTCTCAGAAATACACAGAGGGGCCTCGAGGGGTTTAAGGTCTTGTGTGGCAGTTAAATGTAAGAGCCAGCAAAATGTGGGTGGTGAGTATTCCTATATTCCCTTGTGCACTCAAGAGGTAGGCTGTACCTGAGGCAACATGTGTTACCAGCTGAAGAAACTGTCTCTAAATAGGTCTAATAGGACAACCATTTGCCACTGCTGCTGGGTTTATCTCTGCAGGAAAAGTGTTTTAGCAGGACACACACACACAAGTTCTAATGTGAAATAATCTGGGAAACATTGGGTTAAAGAGCATTGATGAAGTTTTCATATATCTATCCTTTTATTAAGGGTCTCTGGTATCCTGATCCATTTGAATCATATTCATTTGAGCACCTACTCGGTCTCAGTGAACTAGGTGCTGTGGTGGACACCATAGACATGATCCTGGCAGTCTAGATGGGGAGACAGAGCTACTGTGGATTGTGACTCTCTAGGAGGAAGAGGGGAGCATTCAGTGTTCCCCAGACTTATGCCATGAATCCTTTCTGGATGGATACCTTTAGCACCTTTCATGCTTGGGATACTGAAATATCAAAGCAAAAGAAGTGGAAGGAAAACGGGAGGGTGAGGTGTGGCTATTTGGTCTCTGACTAAAGGACATTAAACAAGTTGAAACAATGAAACAAACAATACACACCATAGAAAAGGTTCATAAATGAGCAATAAAGTCCATATAGGGACTTCCCTGGTGGTCTGTGGTTAAGAACCCACCATTGAACCCAGGGGACGTGGGCTCAATCCCTGGTAGGGAAGCTAATGTCCCACATTCCTCGGGTTAACTAAGCCCTTGACTGCAACTGGAGAACTACTGAGACCGCCCACTATAGAGCCCTTGCAATGCAATGAAGACCCAGAGCAGCCAAAAAAAAAAAAAAAAAAAAAATCCCAAATAAGGGTGAGGTGAACGGAAAGAGATTCTGAATTGCTCCTACCTACCAGAGCCCTTGTCTTTCTCTCTCCTTTCTTTCTTTCCCCTTCTTTTCTTTCTGATTTCATGGCCTCCAAATGAAGTGAAAATCTATATCTCCCCTTTCACATACATACTTGATATTTAAACATAAGCTCAGTAGTTATAAATATGCAGTTACCAGATTACTGTGTGTGTGCTTCAAATGTATTTTTGAAGCTACTACTTTGAGTTATCTAGTCATAAAATATGGCCACCATGTAATCAATGGACAAAACTCTTCCTCATTTTCACCCCACGCAGCCAAATCTTTCTAACACACACTGGTTTTCTTTCTCAGTCCCATTCAGATGCATTCCTTTGACAGCACTCCACGTCTAAATTCTTGGCGTAGAGTGGAGGGATCTTGCACGCAGCCATAGAAGACAAAAGGCTTTGAGACGGCCTTGAACTCGTCCCTGGGATTGATAAGCGTGACCTCCTTCAGGGTTTCCTGCCTCACTCGCTCTGCTTTGCCCTCAGGGGAGATGCTTTCTCACACTGTCCGCGGGTCTGGTAACCTGAGGCAGCGGTCCAGTCCACCGGGCTGAAGGCCGTGTCTCTGCTTTGTGTGGGCGGCGGTGGTAGGACAGTGGGAGGGGAGGTGGGGGTGACCCTGCTCCAGGCCGGCGTCTGTGCAGGGCAGTCACTTTTAGGGAAGCACATGGAAATTGAGGGTCTAGTGTCCATGCCCGCGTGTCCCCTGAAAGCCTATCTAGGTCCTAGTGTGCTTGTATGTGGTTAAAACCCCACTGGTGAGCTCGCCAGAGAGTAGTGAGACGAAGGCGTGTTTGATTAAGTTCGTGGTCCACGCAGTGGCTCCCGACCTTTGTTCTTTCTCGGGAGGCACTCCTGAATTCCAAGCCCACGTTCAGTGGTCTCAGCCCACCTGGGGGGTGGGGCTCAATCTGCTCGGTGAGGAGTCCCAAGCTGAGGGTCATAGGCATTTGGGTTGGCGGGGGGCGGGTCGTCAGTAGCACCTGAGCTTCTATCCTGTTACTCAAGAAAGACATTCTTCCTGTGCCCAAGGCACACTCTCCTGCTTTACCCTTGTGTCTGTTATCAGCAGTCCCTCCACCCCCCAGCCCCAGGGTTCAGTGTAGCGGGCTGGTCTATTCCTGCCACAGTCCTGCCCTGGCTGAGCCTACCAGGGTCTCAAGGAGAGGAATGCCCCCTACCACAGGGCAGCGCTCGCCCCAAACGATCTCATACCCACCTTTCAAAAAACCTCCCCAGACCCTCTCAGCTACAAGAGTGGATCGTTGTCTGAGTGTTCCCGAGCTTCCTTCAATTTCCTCTCATAACACTTGTAATGTTGCTTTTTCCTCCTAAGTTGTCTAGATGTTTTATCTCCTTTGCAAGCAGGGAAACTTCTAGGGGCAAGGTTTTTTCTCCTTATTCATTTGTGTTTCCTCGAAGTACCAAGAAAGGGTGTCTCACATAGTAGATACTTAGCAAGTTAGTTTAATCAGTGAAATTGGAGGTGACATATATACATAGAAGTATATGAGCTATGTCTTGATAAGACTCAGGCCACAAGTATAGCATAAAATTGATATAAAGAAAAATACGGGGGAACTTCCCTGGCTGTCTAGTAGTTAAGACTTCACCTTCCAATGCAAGGGTAGCGGGTTTCATCCTTGGTCAGGGAACTAAGATCTCACATGCTTCATGGCCAAAAAATCAAAGAATAGGACAGAAGCAATATTATAACAAATTCAGTAAAGATTTAAAAAGAAAAATATCAACACCCCACTTACAACCGAGGTTTTTAGCAGTCATAATGGCTGCTACTAGCTATGCTTTATTAAAAAGAAAATTGACAAGAAAATTCATGGATCTTAGAGCGTGGCTCCTTATTTTGATAACCATATTCTGTGGTTAATATGTTGAGCCTGAAACTGGAGACTGAAGCCACCCCTGCCTCTGGGCATCAGATGGCGCTCACACACCATTAGAGAAGTTTTTACAAATTGCCTCGGTCTGAAGTTTCTCTTTTACCAAAGCGGAGAGCTATGGTTGTCTGCACAATTCTACGACAGATTGATTTCCTTCAGGCGTCTGGGCCAGAGCTCAGTTCTCCAAAGGCAGGTTTAATACACACACACACACAAACCTGATGTAAAGCACCCAGCTCAGGCTGTGTTGAAGGCCACATTCTGTTTCTGTCCACGTAGCGACACTGTCTCTGCTTGCTTGGTCTTTGTGCCTTTTAAACAGCTTTATTACAGAGAAGGGAAAGACCAGTGGAAAAGCAGAGAAAGAGAGCTAGAGAAAGAGGGTATTATCTGGGCACGAGGATCAGTGGTGACCTATAGGGAAACCCAGAGAGCAAGTACTTTGGACAGATCACTTGCCCTGAGCAAACCTGGGTTTCTTCTTAGAGGGAGAAAACACAGCCTCAGTGCTTTCAGATCTTGGTTGTGTCTGACTCTTTGTGACCCCGTGGGCTGTAGCCTGCCAGGCTCCTCTCTCCATGGAATTCTTCAGGCAAGAATACTGGAGTGGGTTGCCATTTCCTCCTCCAAGGGATCTTCCTGACCCAGGGATCAAACCCGGGTTTCCTGCTTTGCAGACGGATTCTTTACCGCCTGAGCCACCAGGGAAGCCCATAGTAGGTACCCAATAAATGTTTGTTGCATGAATAAATGGTTAACACAGTCCCCAGTGTAGGCACAGCAGGGGTTCCTGTTCCATTTCAGAGATGTTGATTGACTTGTCCTTGGCCGTAGGGTTCAGAAGGTAATGGAACTAGAACTAGAATCCTGACTTTTGCCCCTGAAAATGTTAAAATATTTCAGTCTTTAAAATTAAAGTCTCATTTTTATGTTTATAAAAGTTCTCTTCAATATGTTGGAGTGTTTAGGTGAGATACAGTCCATATGTCTGATGGAAAACCAGTGCAGTCTTGTGGGGAATAAGTTGTTTTTTGATAACACTGGTGTTAATCCAATTGAAGTTACCCATACCACCTATTTTCCACCCATAAAATCTTGGACAGGTTTACACCTGCCAATTGCTGATTCTTGGGTGTGTTTCACAAGCCAGTGATTAGTTCCAAAATTCTAATGCTTCTGGGAATTGTTATGAAAGGACGAGTCCAAAATGTCAGGAAGGGTGTGGCAGCAGCGTTGTGCATGTTGTAGGAGGTGCATATTTCAGGAATTGGAGTGGAGCCCTTCACCCCTCCCCTGTAGGAGGTGCAGTGGTCGCTCAGGGAGCTCTCAAGGGTATCTCCTGCATTGGTGCCTGAATAGAACGTCCTGAAGATCAGATCTCTGGTCAAAAAAAAACTCTCTCAGGGGGACCTGGAATTCCACCCAGTGGCTTTGTTTCTTCCTTTTATGTAGAATCTTTGCCTTGAAGCCTTTCTTTGAATACAGATCTACTAGGTTCTGGGAGAGATGCAAAGAGGAATACAAATTTTTTCCTACTCAGTAAATTTTTTCCTTCCTCACTTCCTCCTTCCTTCCTTTTCTTCCTTCTTTCCTTCCTTCCAGGAGTATCTCCTGAGCACACATTATATGCCAGACACTGTGCTAGGCTCTGGGTCAGTCAAACAGTTAACATTTTGAATGTTCACTGTAGGCATGCACTATCTATCTAAAGTGCTTTTTATGACTTAACTCATAGACTCACAGTCTCTGTTGATAAATCAGAAAAGTGAGGTCCAGAGAAGTTGGGTGATTTAAACCTGAGGTCACACTGCTAGAGAATAGCAGTCACAGGATTCAAATTTGGGCATTCTGGCTCCGGAACCTGGGTCCTAACAGGTCCCTGACCTTTGCTCCTCACCTGGTCGGAGGGGTGGCGGGGGGACGCAAATGTACAAAGATGAACTGGAGTCCAACAGGGCTTCGATGGAAGGGGAGATAAGGAGAGGGCTCCTGGAGCGACTGCCTGGAGCAGCTGGGCACCCATCACCAGGCACGAGGCAGGACCTCTGGAGCCATAGCTTAGTCGCCAGCAACCAGAACATGAAAAAACACCTCTTTTCTTCCTTGCCGACTTGCTTTGCTGTTAAGGTATGTCATGCCACTGAGGCTACTTTGGTAATACAGTTTTTAATTCTTTTAAAACTAATAAAGCACTGATTGAAGCAATGAGCACCATTTGCGTTTGTGAAGCTTGGCAGGTTGACCACAGGTACAGTCTCACTTTACGCTCTTGCTTTTCTCTCTCAGCCTCTGTTGTTCTCTGGGTCGCTGGCAGGGGTTGAGGCAGGGTGGAAATCTCAAGACACTGGTAGGTCTCCCAGGACCGCATGGACCTGATTACCGCCACTAGAAATGGAAAAGGAAATGGAAAGGGGCGGATAAATTCAGCCACTCTGTTGTGAGCTTCAATCTGTTAATCCGCTGCATGCTCACTGTCCCTCAGTCTTGCGTCTCCCACAACTCTCCTGCCCCTCTCGTCCTCAAGCACGTGGCTCACGGCCTGCCTCTAAAAAGCCTCCCCTGCCCCCAGCCCCATCGCTCTCATGTCGGACTCCTGTGGCACTTAAGGTCTGCACCTCCCATTTCACCAGTGAGCAGACGTTGCTGTTTGAATAGCTGGTAGTTTCACGCTATGGCATCATATTTTATATCTCTTCAAATTCAACTCAGTACCCTTTCTCTCTAACAGAAGAGTCTAGTTAACTATTCATTTAGAGTAGGACTTCCTTTTAAAGCCGAGGAAATCTTGATCGTGCCCCTGTAAATTTCTCTCCTTTCAAGCTTGTCAGCAAGTCATTCTTCCTAATCCCATTTTGCTTAAAAATCAGTTCCTCTTCTGATGGACTCCTAACACTTTTTCATAAACTTAGTTTATCTGGACGCTACAAAATTTCAAAGTATCAGCATGGTTGTTGCTCCTTTTGAGAATATTGCATTGTTTTATGTACACTTAAAATTTTTTTCTCATGAAATATGTATAACACATAATTTACCATCTTAACCATTTGTCTATTTTTAAAAAATCTCCAAGACTTTGAGATAAATAATCTGAATACATTTGTTTCTTTTTACATTTGTAATATTTCATAAATGTATAGAGTTCCATATATTTTTCATTAAATGTGTCCTATTGGAACATTCTTGTTTCCTTTTTGCTCTTTTGTGAAAATATGTGAAAAAATATGGATAAGGAATATATTTACGTAATAAATTCATTACACTTTAATTTTTGAGTTCCTCATTAATGCTCCTGAAAGTTTAATTGATAAATTCCCAGTTATGAACAACTGCACCAGGTTCATCACACTCTGCTTTTTACCTCCACACTCATCTAGGTTTCAAATGTTGTCAATATTTACAGCTGGGATTGGATTTTTTTTGACATTACATTGAATATTATGATTTTGTATGTAAATAATATGAATACTACTTCCAGTAGTAGCTAACACTTGTCAAATACTTACTGTGTTGCTGGGGATTTTTCTAAGTGATTTACACAGATTGACTCAGGCACTCAAAACATTCATTGCATTGTCAGTTCCTGTGCTCAGTGACACTTCATACCTTCTCGTGAAGTTAGACCCATAACAGAGGCAGATGTATTTGTCCTCTCCTGGATTTGCTCTTGGGATGTAAGGCACAAATATTAAATAAAGTTCACTAGTAGGTGAACCATCTCACTATACCAGATTGGAAATTCCTTGAATTATTTACTTGTGATACTCCAGGTTATCATTTAGCACACAAATGTTTGAGAAATAAATTAATGAATATTATTTTATTAAAGCCCAATAAAATACAGGATCATGATGGGCTTTGAAATGGCAGGGTAAACAGCTGTGCAGGGAGCTGAGTTTGCAGCTAGAACTTACCTACTGTTAGCGAGGTGAGTCAAGGAAAACATCTATTCCTGTCAAGGCAAAATTTAAAGTACATGATGTTGGCTTCATGCATGATTGCAAATGTCAAAATTCCATTAATTTGATTTTTAAAGTTTAAGGTATTCTGCCATTTGGTTACTCAGTGTATGAATAGAATGACATTTATTCTACTTGGCTCTCTGTAAGCTGCACATGCACACTTATTTGAAGGGTATCATTTATCCCTTTAATGAGTATTTTAGGAGAACATCATGTTGGGCTAAATAGGATGTGTGAACTAAAGGAAAAGAACTCTGGTATTTAGACTCTAATGGAAGACAGACCTGATAAACTTGAAAGTCTTGTGTTATAATGAAAAACTGTGTGGGATTAAGTGGCAGGGAGTGATACAGACAAAATGGTACGTCTACAGAGTTCAGAGAAAGGAGAGGATGATCAACTAAGGCCTGATGAGGAAGATGTGATTCTGTTTGGGCTTGAACTTCAGGGAGGGGAAGAAGACGTTCCTTCAGGAATGGAGATATTTTATGAGCCAAAGCAGGAATTAATGATACCTGTTTTTTGAGGTAATGTAATAATTTTTTTTCCCCTGGAGTGTTTTTTTTTTTTTAAAGAGACATCATTTAATTTAATTTATCATGTGGCCAGCTGAAACTCAAAGGTTCTATTCCTATGACAAGAGGAGAATGAATATTGAGGAAGAGTTAGCAATCTCTGCCACAGAGGGAATGATTAAAAAAGGAGAAATAGTGTGAAAAGACCAAACTGTTAAAATCCTTGGCTTGGAGAGGGAGGCAGTCCTCTTAAAGACGTTGTCTAGGCACACTCTTCGGAGAAGGCAATGGCACCCCACTCCAGTACTCTCGCCTGGAAAATCCCATGGACGGAGGAGCCTGGTAGGCTGCAGTCCATGGGGTCGTGAAAAGTCGGACATGACTGAGCGACTTCACTTTCACTTTTCACTTTTTATGCATTGGAGATGGAAATGGCAACCCACTCCAGTGTTCTTGCCTGGAGAATCCCAGGGATGGGGTCGCACAGAGTCGGACACGACTGAAGTGACTTAGCAGTAGCAGGCACACTCTTGGCTCTCAACTGTGCCTTCTTTCAGATAGAGAGAGAGAGAGAGGTCCTAATGTGCACCTTCATTCCTTCAAAGGACTCTGGGCGCTCCTCCTTCCGCAGAAGTAGTTCTCACCCTTGGACCTCCTCCACCATCATCCTTAGCCATACCTTTGCCAAATTCTGGGTTTTTCTATCTAGAGTTACCCGTATGGGACATAAGCAAAAAACCCCAGATGTTCTAGAAGAGTGTTACAAATGCAGCCACATGTAGCTTTTTGCTTCACATCATTGGTATTGTGTTTTGTTTGTTTTTTCCCCCAGAAACAAAGTAGAAGTGAATGTCTACCTTACTCAACTTCTGCCAGCAGGTTCTGAGTCTCCACACAGAAGTCATTGATTGGGACCCCCAGGAGGATGTTGAGAAATGTCAGTGCCTGAGTGTCTCTTCCAGGGCTTCTAAGTTAATTAGTTCTGATCATGGCCTGGGCCCCAGGATTTAATAGGTGATTTTAGTGCTCAGCTGCTGTTGGAAATCGGGTCTCCATCTTTTCTTAGGGATATTTCCCGGAGGATGCAATTCTGAGTTAGTGACTTATTTTAAAATGGTTCTAAGAGCACTTAGGCTTGGCTGGTAGGGAGAACAAATTGGTGAGCAGCATTGAGGATTGGGTAGAATTAGAAATGAAGTTGAGATGCTGAATCCTCTGGGTCCAAAGTGAAGTGAAACACAGGTGCGCTCTGGGTGGGAGGCAAGATGCGAGCGAGGACACACGTCAGGGAGGCAGATGCAGGAGGGAAAGGGTGAAGGGCTGTGCTCCGCTTCTGCAGCCTTTGGAGGGGAATTCTAAACTGGAAGATCTAGATTGATTCTGGACTTTGGAACAGTGCAGAGGCGAGCAGGAATCCCAGGTTCGAGAGTGGAATTAGAGTTCCCCTCTGTCAAGCACCCCTCTTTCAGAGCTGCTGGGCTGGTCCTGCGTGCACTGGGGGCTGAGAAAAGGAAGGTTGGGCACACCCACCTCTCCCATCCCTTCTCTCCAGGCTTTTCCGCCAGGGGACCGTGGACAATTCCTACTGAGAGCAGGAGGTAATAGACAGTTCCTACTCAGACAAGGGGTATTTAGCTTTGACTTGGAATTGGAAAATCTCCTAATATCCCTATTTACTGCTTTGCCCAGTCATTCATCTCTGCAATCCAGGAGTTTTAAAGGGAGCTTTTAAAAATGGGATGAAGCAACTGACAAAGAATTAATCTCAAAAATATACAAGCAGCTCCTGCAGCTCAATTCCAGAAAAATAAGTGACCCAATCAAAACATAGGCCAAAGGACTAAACAGACATTTCTCCAAAGAAGACATACAGATGGCTAACAAACACATGAAAAGATCCTCAACATCACTCATTATCAGAGAAATGCAAATCAAAACCACAATGAGGTACCATTACACGCCAGTCAGGATGGCTGCTATCCAAAAGTCTACAAGCAATAAATGCTGGAGAGGGTGTGGAGAAAAGGGAACCCTCTTACACTGTTGGTGGGAATGCAAATTAGTACAGCCACTATGGAAAACAGTGTGGAGATTTCTTAAAAAGCTGGAAATAGAACTGCCATATGACCCAGCAATCCCACTTCTAGGCATACACACTGAGGAGACCAGATCTGAAAGAGACACGTGTACCCCAGTGTTCATCGCAGCACTGTTTATAATAGCCAGGACATGGAAGCAACCTAGATGCCCATCAGCAGACGAATGGATGAGGAAACTGTGGTACATATACACCATGGAATATTACTCAGCCATTAAAAAGAATTCATTTGAATCAGTTCTAATGAGATGGATGAAACTGGAGCCCATTATACAGAGTGAAGTAAGCCAGAAAGATAAAGACCATTACAGTATACTAACACATATATATGGAATTTAGAAAGATGGTAATGATAACCCTATATGCAAAACAGAAAAAGAGACTCAGATGTATAGAACAGACTTGTGGACTCTGTGGGAGAAGGTGAGGGTGGGATGTTTCAAGAGAACAGCATTGAAACATGTATATCTAGGGTGAAACAGATCACCAGCCCAGGTTGGATGCATGAGACAAGTGCTCGGGCCTGGTGCACTGGGAAGACCCAGAGGGATCGTGTGGAGAGGGAGGTGGGAGGGGGGACCGGGATGGGGAATACATGTAAACCCATGGCTAATTCATTTCAATGTATGACAAAAACCACTGCAATGTTGTAAAGTAATTAGCCTCCAACTAATAAAAATAAATGGAAAAAAAAAAAAGAAAGCTGTGGTACATATACACCGTGGAATATTACTCAGCCATTAAAAAGAATACATTTGAATCAGTTCTAAAGAGGTGAATGAAACTGGAGCCTATTATACAGAGTGAAGTAAGCCAGAAAGAAAAACACCAATACAGTATACTACTGCATATATATGGAATTTAGAAAGATGGTAACAATAACCCTATATGCGAGACAGCAAAAGAGACACATGTATAGAAGAGTCTTTTGGACTCTGTGGGAGAGGGAGAGGGCAGGATGATTTGGGAGAATGGCATTGAAACATGTATATTGTCATATGTGAAACGAATCGCCAGTCCAGGTTAGATGCATGAGATAGGGTGCTCGGGGCTGGTGCACTGGGGTGACTCTGAGGGATGGGATGGGGAGGGAGGGAATGGGAGTTCAGGATGGGGAACACATGTACACCCATGGCAGATTCATGTCAATGTATACAAAACCGCTACAATATTGCAAAGTAATTAGCCTCCAATTAAAATAAATATGTTTATATTAAAAAACTAAAAATGGGACAGGTAGAAGAAGTTTAGGAATAGGAGAGAAAATTCAAATTTGTCACTTTTGACCTGTTAACATTTGAAGACCTGGAGCTAGCTGGTAATGCCTGGATGAACAGTAATAGCCTGGCTTCACTTTGCTCCCCAAAGTCATTTTTGCTTTTTGTAGACATTTGCTTGGTGTTTTTCTGCATCTAGTTGCTCTTCGATAATGGGTGAGATCTGATTATGTTCAGGTAGGAGGATAATATTAAGTGACTATGTTTTGCCTCATATCATACTTCTGTCTTATAATAGTCTGCTTTCCTAGGACATTAGATTTTTCATTTAAGCGCAGTACAAGCATTGAGTTTGGCTTTTCTCCAGTTTTTTCTGGTGGACACTAGAGGAAACGGTGTGTAAAATTTATTCTTGTCTTGGATCCCTGTAGTTAGGGGTTCAAATCATTCTCTTTAATAAATTAGTTAAGATCTTTGAGCCTCAGTTTCTCTTTTGTGAAGTGGGGATAATAATAGTCTCTATTTTATAGGGTTGCCTTCTTTATTGCTGCTTTAAAAATTATTAATATTTTTGGTTTTTACAAAAACCTGTTTTACAATGCTGGAACAATTTGGGCAACAACATATAAAATAATACTACACTAAAACTCAAAGTATAAAATAAGTAAAATATCAATACTGATGTAAATATTGATACATGATTGATTAACAAATAAATGGAGGGAGACTAAGCAAATCTGCACAGAAGAATTGCAGATATTTCCAAAGGCCAATGCATTTTTCAATCCCAGGTCCTAAGTGTCTGGTGGTAAACAAAACAAACGTTAATTTGAAAAACAAACAAACCCTGGGATGTCCTCCAGAAATCTTAACACCTATTGAAAACAAGTTAAACATGGAAAAGTCAGGAATGTTGGAGGGGAAGCATTCTCTCTTCAAAAATTATAAAAACAATGTCAGTAATTTTGTACTTTGCAAAACCCAAAGTTTTTTCCACGTTTAAGTGATTTCTTACAAAACCCCAAATTTTTCACGTTTAAGTGATTTTTAAACTTGCATTCCTGTAATACAGTGTTGGCTAATCCTTTAGAATCTTTATTTTTTCTTTTCACTTAGAAAAATGAGGCTGGAGTAGTTCTGTTTTTCTGATGTCAAAGAGAGTAGACTTTGACAATGTCATCCCTTTCCCTCCGTCCCCCACCCTCTCCTGCCCAGCCAGAATATTATTTTATGGCTATTCATCAACTCTTCTTTTAGCTAAAGAAAATCTTTTTGGAAAAGTGAAAAGTATGTGTTACCTATTCTCCAGAGTTTGTGTCTGTTTCCCTTTCGGACAGCCCTAGAAGAGATGAGTGTATGTGAAGGCGTGAAAGGGATCAGGAGAGGATCTGGGAGAAGGTAGTGGGTGTGTCAGGGATTTTGTTAAGCAAGGCCTCAGCCAACACCACCTGCAGCCTGCCTCCTTCCCAACAGAGATCGTCTTCATCCAGCAGCTTTGCACCGTGTCTACAGGGCCTGTTGGAAGTTTGTATTTGCATAATGCTTCTTAATGAGTGCTTTCAACAGAGCTCACCTTCGTACTTTTGAGGAACCAGTCTTGTTAAATCTTGTTTCATGTGAAATAGTTTACCATCAATCCCTTCTTTATGTCAAAGAGCTAGGAGCAAAAAGGTGTGATGGGATAAATTAGTGAAATATTAGCTGATTATTTTCTCTGGTTATTTTCCTTCTTTCTCTATTTGAGGAATGTAGCCTGGTCTAGTTTTTTTTTCTTTTTAATTGGTTCAGAGATTTATGTTGGATGGAAAGGAGAAGCAATCCTTCCTTCCTTCCTTTTCCTCTCCTTCCTTTCTTTTTTAGCTAATGGTCAGAACAAGGAAGTATCGCCATTATTTTGTAATAGTGCCAAATGGAGTATAATCTATAAAAATCGTTATGAATTTGAATCGTTATGTTGTACACCTGAAACTAATATAATATTGTAAATTAACTATGTTTCAGTTAAAAACAAAGAGCTAATGGTAATGCCCTCTGAGGAAAAGGGAGATAAATAAAAGCCTTTAAGGGCTTGGAGAAATCGAGGCTGAAGAGTCTCCCCAAATTCGTAAGTAAGAGGTTTGAGATATCATGGGGAGAATAAATGAACTGCTTAGGGGCGATAGCTGAGGAGTTGAGAAGACCCCAGGGAAATGGCACCTAGAGGAGAAGAGACTGGACGTGAGGGTTGCCCGCTCAGGCGGAGACCCCTACTGCCCACTCATGGCAAGGGGGCCAAGTCTCCTGCCCTTTCAGGACCTCTCTGGGCTCGGGGGGCGTTTACCCGGAGCGCGTCCTGCCTTTTCTGCATTCCAAGTGACCCCACTGCTCTGGTGCAGCCTGGGAATGGAAGGGGGTGCTCATCATGCCTAGGATAAAGTGTGGCCTTAGTGCCGTATTAAGTTGATTAAAAGGCAATAAAACAGCAATATTTCTTGAACACCTGAGCTTGTGGACTGAGATTCATATCTGCTACACTAGAATTAGTTCATGGCTAATTGATTCGAGGGGAAAATATTGATCTTTCACACCAAAGGCAAACATTTGAGTAAACCCCAACAAAAGCAGGAACTGCATTAATTTCACATCTTAAGGGAGAAGGAAAAAGCATAAGTGTATAGGGTTTTTTTCCTATAAAAACTCTTAGTTCAAAAACCCTAGTCAGAGTTTCTTTTACAGAATATACACATTTTAAATTCTAGGAGTTTGCAGTCATTTGGGGCAAGTTTTAGGTGTGACTGGAGAGCGAGTCACTGACTTACTTCTCAGGTGGTTGTCCTTTCCCTTCCCTGTCCAACTAATGCACTTTCTCATCTGTGAAAAGAACACTGGACTGGGGACCAGGACCCTGAATTCCAAAGGTTGATGCTGGGTGAGCCATTTTACTCCTAAATAGTGAAACCCAGGAGCTTGGCGTACACAAAAGTCCCCAGTTGTGGTGGCTGAGGACAGGGAGTCGCTGGTGGAGAAATGTGTGGAGTGAGTAACAATAGACTTGCTCTGAGGACCAAAACTTAGAGTTTGACTTTTAATACTTACTAGTTTCTATGACTTTTGGCAAATTATTTGATTTTTCTTAACCCCAGTTTCCTAAACGGAAAATGATTGTGTGTGTTTGTGTGTATGTGAGAGAGAGAGAGACGGGAAGAGAGGATGAAATGAAATAGTGTATGCTGAAGTGCTTTGTAAATTGTAAAGTATTGTGCAAATTTAAGGCCTTGTTAGCAATCAATCAACATAGATTTTTGAGGCCTGAAATATGATGCTTGGGTCTAGAAGAGAAATGAGAGGAGCTGAAGATGACTCTCGGTCTCAGTGGACATTTTGTTCAGTTGAGGACAAAAAACGATCAGCGGACACTGAGTAAAAGAGAACTTTTAAACAAGTCTTACTGGGGCAGGAAAAAAAAGAGCTGGGGCATATTATTAAAAAAATTATGACATTAAAGTAAATAAATTATTTGCCAAGCCTTCTAAAATCTGCCACAGTAAACGCAGATGATCTTCCATTTTTAAAAATTTTAATTTTTTTTTCCCCTGGAACTTTATATATCATCATAGCAGGAAACAATCTGCATCCTAGTCAGAAAATGCATATAACTTCTCTGAGTGAGAATCTCCATGTGTGTTAAATCCTGGACCAGTTAGGATTCTTAGCTTTTTGATTTCTTGAAAGTGGCTTGCCTGCCAGC